ACAATCAAATGGATTGAGAAATTGTGGTATATTAACATGATGGACTACTTGGCAGCACTCAGGAGCAGTGATTTAGAAAATTACTACATTACTTGGGAGAGACTGGAGAGCATTATGCTGAGTGAACTAACTCAGTCCCATAAGGATAAATACTGCATAGGACCATTATTGTAAAAGCAGAAGGATAACTAGTAAAACATTTCTGGAGGCCCAAGGTGGGGAGGGGTTGGAGCAGAGGAATGAAAGTGGGCAGGGAGGAAATCATAGGGTTGCATAAATTGGTGGGTGGATGGAATGAGGGTAAAGGAAATGAGAAAGATCCAGTAGAGATCTGGAAAGATCGGATAATAGTGGGCCTGGTTCAATTGTAATTGATTTTGTAAAACATAATGAATGAGAATGATTGTATGAAACACAAAATGAATGAAAGTGTGAAACACAATGCATATGAACTTTGTATGCAACCCAATGTAAAATTTTAAAAACATTTACAATTAAATATTTTTTTAAAAAAATAGTGAAGGCCTAGTTTCTAAAGCCATTGGGGATATTTGCTAATGTGACAAAAGTAGTAACATAAACTCAAATGTCCTGTATGCATTGAAAGGTCATAACAACCATGAAAATAATTTTCCTCCCATAAAAAACCCAAAGTGTTTGTCCTTTTGTGACTGATATATTTCACTCAGCATAATGTCCTTCAGGGCCACCGATGTTGTGTAATATTTTATGAGATTCTTGTTTTTCAGTGCTGCATAGTATTTCGTTGTGTGAATATACCATCGTTTTTCTATCCATTCATTTACTGATGGGCATTTGGGTTGCTTCCATCTCTATGCTATTGTGAATAATGCATCAGTAAGCATGGGTGTGCACATATCTTTTTGGGTGGCAGCTCTGGTTTATTTACAGTATATTCCTAGTAGTGGAATTGGTGGATAAAATGGTATTTCTATTTCCAGCTTTTGAGAAAGTGCCATATTGCCTTCCACAGTGATTGCACCATTTTACACTTTCACCAGCAGTGAATAAGAACTAAGTTTGTTTTTGTCTCATATTTCTTTGGACATATATACCTAGTAGTGGGATTGCTCACATGAGGAGGATGGGTTATAAACTGCCTCTGAAAACCCTCTGAAGGATCAGCTATGAGTTGGTTCTGACTTGAAAACTACCACAAAAATCAAGACTGCTAGATCAAATGGTATTTCTATAACTGAACTATCTAAAAAAGCAACAAGATGTACTACATTTTATATTCCCAGAAGAAGCGCAGAAGAGTTTCTATTTCTACACTGCCTTGACAGCATTTGTGGCTTGGTGTCTTAGTGAGCACTACTTTTTTTGTTTTTAGGCAACATTACATCTATTGTTTTAACTTAATTTCTCCAATCTTGGAGCATTTCTTCATGTGCTTACTGGCCATCTGAATAACATTTTTTGTGAAGTATCCCCCAGGTCCTCTTCTCACTCTGTTAATTAAGTGGTGTTTTTCTTGATGAAGTGTTGGAGCTTTCTATAAATTTTGGAGATGACTCCTTTGTTAAATGTGTCAGCCATATATTTTTCCCAATCTGTTGTTACTGCCTTTATATGTCAATGAGTTGACTTTGATTTATAGTGATGCTGTAAACAACAGATTTGAAACTTATCCTATCCTGCCATCTTCAGATTTTCTGATAAGCTTGACTCTTTTGGAGAAGTTTTTAGATGCACAGTTGTCTCATTTATCCTGTGCTGTTTATGCATTTTCAGATACAGATTAGGGAATTTATGTCTCCAATTTTTTTCTTTGAAGATCTTTACTTTTGCACGTAGGTCTTCAATCCATCTTAAATTAGTATTTGTGTATCGTGAGGTAAGGATCTTGTTTCATATTTTTTTATAAACAGATATCCAATTTTGCCAATACCATTTATCATACTGTCTTTTTCCCACTTCATGGATTTCATAATTTTGTCTAGGATACACAGGTGGATGTATTTATTTCTAGATTCTCAAATCTGTTCAAGTGGTCTATGTACCCATGGGTGTAACAGTCATTACAATCTATGCAAGACCTCCTATCTTTATTCTTCAGTACTACCTTGTTATCTGTGTTCCTTTCCTTTCCACATGAAGCTGGTTATCACTTTTTCCATCTCTTTGAAAAATTATCTAGGCTCTGAATTGGGATGAACTGTATTTGTAGGTTACTTTTGGCAGCACTGTCATTTTCATGTTACATATTCCAATCCAGGATCATGGTATGTTTTTCCATTTCCATAGGTCTCTGTAGGTTTCTTGCAATAATAATGTTTTGTGGTCTTCTTTGCATAGGTCTTATGAATCTCTGGTTATATTTACTGCTAAACATGTCAGCTTTTGGGAGGCTACTGTAAATGCCATTAAATTCCTTCACAATTTAATGACAGGTATGTTTTATGCTGGCACTTTGCTGCCCATTCCTTGTTGTCATTTTCATTGTTCATCTGATTTTTTCTATGCTGAGTTCATTTTATAGCTTTGCTTATTTCTTTCATTATTGTTGTTTTGGTGTTTACTAAATTTTTACAAATCTTTTTTTATTTTCATATTCGTGGGTAGCTTACTTTATCTTAAAAACATGACGTCTCTATGTAAATGATCTCTACCTCATTCCCACTTCTGCACTGTTGTTGTATTCATTATGAATTCCTGTCTCTGAGTCCCTATTTTGTCATGTCTTTTCATATTTGTGTATTTCTGAATCTGGCCAGTTTCTAAATAAAGTTATCATGTAGGCTTATTTTGGGTTGTTTCTGCTTTAATTGACTCATAGACTAGAGATTTCATTTAGGATGTCTTGTCTATCTAGCCTACCATCTTAAATCAGAAGTTCTATCAGCAATTCACTCCTGGTATGAGGGAGAAAAACTGTACTACACATTGGCAGAGTGTTTATCTAAATGACTTAACAGTCCACTTGATTACTGTCTGAGTTTACTTTTATCACAATAACAAAAGTGCAAGGCAGGCTGTATCACCCCCATCTGAAACTTTTACTATGAGCCCTTTGATAAGAAGTTTGCTGACCTCTGCTAATAAAAAGACAAATAAACAGTGGTATTTCCTATTATTGCTCTGTGCTGCAATCTCAAAGGCAGATGATTTGAATCCACCAGCTGCTCTGCAGGAGAAGAATGGGCAGTTGCCTCTCTTGTAGTTTCATGCCTTTGAAAATATGCTGCAAAGTCAGCTATGGGTTGGTTCCAATTCCTTGGCAAACAACAACAACAACGAGTCTTCAGCACAGTCAACCACTTTATTAGTTTTCCCAAAGAAGTAAGGTTCAAAACAGGCTGTATTGAACTGTGAGCTGTGACCTAGTCATACTGGAACCCTTTTGGGAAGTGAACCAATGATCAGAGAGGCTCACCACCCTGACGAGACCTTAACTCTAACTATGAAACATAACAGGTAGCAAGGAATATACCTGGTATGCTGAATAGTGCATGCATCATACGAGTGATATATGAATGCTACGAAACAAACAAAAACCCAACCAACAAAACAACATAGACAAGGATTTTAATGCCTCTAACTTTTAAAGATATTTGATGAGGCTCTCGGGTGGATGCTGCTGTGTCGGCACGTGGGAGCCCGGGTTCAAACTCGAAATAAACTTTGTTAATTCAGAAAAAAAAGGTATTTGATGAAAGCCTATGTTTAATATACTATGACTTTTATATGGCAGTTAAATACTGTTTAAAGAGATGTGACTAAACATGCCAAATCCACAAATGGGTCTATGCTATTACTAACTGAACTATCGTTCCTCAGAGTTTTCTATTCTACATGATCTGTGTAAGCGCTGACCATAAGAGAAAATTTAAAAATATTTGGAACTTAATTATTTATTAATAATGGCTAGCATGTTGAAAAGGTTAACAGAGGGTCCAAGTGACACTGTAGCTTTCCCAGGCTGATGATGGTGTGCTTTTGGCACCACCCGGTTCACAATTGGCCCCTCCTTTTGCTGATACAAGTTTTGGACTAGGTACAAAGAAACTTCTAGGTCAAAAGGCATCAGAAAAGTCTCTTCATGCCAGTCTGAGATGGGGACAGCAGCTATGGATTCCATTCCATCTACTTCTTCTCCCACAGTGATTTCAGACAGAGATTGAAAGAAATGATTTTCAAAAGCAGTTCAATGACATTCCAGTAGTAAATGAAGAGTCTTTATTACTCAGTATCCTTGCCAATATTGCATACTATTTTTCTATGCTTTGTCAAAATGGTCAAAATGGTAGTATTGCACCATGGTTATTATTTTCCTGCTACTGGGGTGCAGCCATTTTCCTTTTATCAAGTTGGTCATTTGGCATTAAGTTTTGTATGTTGTTATTGTTGGGTGCTGTTGATTTTGACTCCTAGCAACCCTGTCCAATCCTGTGCCATCATCACAATCTCTGACACAGCTGAGCCCATTGTTGCAGTCAATACTCAAATCCACCTGGTTGAGGGGCTTCCTCGCTCTTCCACTTTCCCAAGCATGAGGTCCTTCTCCAATGTTTATCCTCTTCTGTAACATGCCCAAAATATGGGAGAAGTTTAATTATCTGTTTCAAGGAGCACTCTGGCTGCACCTTCTTCAAGATATATCTGTCTGTTCTTTTGGCAGTCCAGGAAATCTTCAGTACTCTTCCCCAAAACCAGAGGTCAAAGGCAACACTTATAAATGCTAGATTTAATATTAAATCAGCTGATATACTGAAAAGTGAACAATTCACGGGAGGGGAGAGAGTACATAGAGCCCACCACCATCTCTTAATAGCTTTAGTGATCTTCAGATTTTACAATACAAGCAAGGAGACAAAAGAAATTCTGTAGTCAAACATGGCTTATGAATCCTTCCCTGCCTTAGAATGCATGCCTTACATAAAGAGCAAACTTTATGTAGTAGAAGCAATAATAAACAACTATTTTCAACAATCTCCCCATGCTGAATGAAGGACAAGGAAATCTGGCTTTCCACGTACCTGTTACACCATGGAAGACAACCAGCTCTGTATTTTTAACGCCAAAAACGCTCATAACAGCACTCTTCAGTTTTAAAAGATCCAACCTATTATCGCCTTTTGGATTTTCTAGAAGTAAAACGCCACCTAAAAAAGCCAGAAAAATATTCAGGAAAACAGAAAATGTTACATTTGGAGGATAAATCAAGAAAGACAAGAGGGTTTAAACAGCAACAAACCTGCACAAGGATCCAAAGTCCTTTTTTCAAAAAACTTAAATGTGTCTTTTATGCTTGTCTTACACTTCTTGTACTTAAATGGAGATTATGCATTCTCAACTGAAATGTGGCAAAGGAGATAGGTCTTTCTCAGGTTATCACACCTGGATCCACAGGATATTCTCTATTTCATAAAATGAAAATGCAAATCACTGCCATCAAGTCAACTTCAACTCAGTCTTCAGTGACCCAGGTTTCCAAGGCTCTAATCTTAGAGGAGACTGCTCATCTTCCTTCTGTAGAGCTGCCATAGCTATCTACAAGCAGCCAAATGTTGTTCAATCTCTGCTCAATATTTATTAATTGTAAACAAAATGCAACTCACCAATGAAGACAAGAGTCTCAGCACTGCAATCAAGCAAATATCCTTTTATGGACACTTCAATCTAAAATTTACCAAACACTGATGATTCTTGCCTGATTCATTCTTTTTGCTCCTCCTCCATATACATAAAATTTACTGAAATTACATACACTTAAACTATTCACCAATGTTATATTGAAAATTCAATGGCACCAATTTCATTTTTCATGCTGTGACACCTTTAAACTATTCTATCATCAACACAAATTCACTGCCTCAAAATGAGAACTCATTTCCCTCTTCCTCCCACCTCTGGTGACCATTCATCAATCATCCCTGGCTTCGATATGCAGTATGTCTCACTAATTAGTGACAGTATGTTCTAGGAAATACGTTACCTGATTTGCATGTTGTGTGACTACCATGTCATACAGAGTGTACTTTGGATATACTAAGATATTCACAGTCAATCTAACTCCCTTGCAAGTAGCTTGAGCACTCTGTTAGCATCTGGAGACATAGAGATAACAAACTTAGATCCCCATTTGGTGAACTCTAGGCCAATGGTCCTCTGTGAGCAGCCTCCAGGAAGCCTCTAATTATTAATTATTATTATTATTATTATTATTATTTTTGTGTGCGTTTACTGTCAAATCAGATCTGACTGGTACAGGAGGAGATTGCCCCTCCTTCCCTGGCAGAGCATCTGGTGGATTCGAACTGTTCGCCTCTGGGATTGTAGTCGCAGCTCCTTGCCACTAGGCCACAAGAGCTCCCTAATTATTAATTTTGTATAAGTGAAATTATATAGTATTTATCCTTTTATGGCTAATTTATTTCATTCAGAGTGTTTTCAAAATTCATGCAACTTGTGACATGCATCAGAACTTTTTTCTTCGTTTAACACAACAACATAAAACACACTCAGATGCAATGATGGTGAAACTTTGCCTCGATTATTTTGGACATATTTTCAGAATCAGTCCTTGAAGAGACATCATGCTGGGAAAGGTAGAGGGTGAGCTAAAGTGAGGAAGAGTCTCAATGAGATGAACTGACTGGAACTATCACAATGGGCTTGAGCATGACAGAAATCAAGAGTGCAATCAAGAAAGCAAGGTATGGTATGGTTCAGATCTGTTGTTCATGGGATCACTGTGATTCCTGGTTGCTCAATGGCACCTAACCACAACAATACTCCATTAGAGAGCTCTGGTGGTGTATTTCATAGGGAGATGTACTGTTCACACAAAAGCTATACTTCTCTACTAGTACAAATCCACCAGTCACTCTGGGAAGAAAAGATAAGCATCTCTTTCCCTGAGATATACTCCATCAGAAACCTGCCCGAAGGTCAGCTATAAGTTGATTTCAACGGAATGACAGTGAAAGAGAATGAGAATACGCCACTGTAGTCTCAGATTTAGCAACAGGGTTATATTCTAACATTACTATTGCTTTTATAATCTGTATTTTCATGATGTTATCTGTGGACATATACAACTAAACATCACAGAATATTAGCTGCAAATTATGCATCATTACATCATATGCAGTACATTATTAATGATTACAGAAGTCGTAATACGGAAACTACTAGTACACTTTCTTCATCCATCCATTCATTGGCTGGTGAAAATCAGCATTGTTTCTTTAACTGGCTACTACTGCAAAGAATGCTATAATGAACACTTATATAAGGGTTTCTGTTTGCATACCTGTCTTCACTTTTTCTGGGATGGCTACTCATATGATAGCTCTATGTTCATTCACCTTTGTGAGGATCCATCAAATTGTTATCCACAGCAACTGCATAGTTTTACAAAATGGATAACGATTCTACTGTCTCCATACTATTCAAAACATTTTTTTTTGTATCTCAGGTTTTTATTTTTCTCTACTAGGGTCATTCTAATTCTTTCTCTGTGGCTCAGGATAGGGCAAGGTTCAGAACCATTGTTTCAGAGGCAGTTATGAGTCATACTCAACTTGATGGCACCCCTCTTTCCCTAGGGAGGAGCTGTGGTGGCCTAGTGGTAAGAAGCTGCATTACAGTCACAAAGGCCATAGTTGCCTTGAGACGCCTGCAACTCAGTGAACCCATGTACAACACCAGCTCTGAAACGTGCCCTATCCTCAGTCTGTGAGACTTCACTGATTCAGACACATTGCCCCAGATACTGTATCAATCCATCTAATCTGGGGTCTTCCTCTCTTGTGCTGTCCACTCCACCCTTCTGACCTTATCTTTCTCCAAAGCATGTGAGACAGCCCTTTAAAAAACCTAGCCTCCAAAGGCATTCCCTTTAAGAACAGGAACTAGGCAAGGATGCCCACTATCACCTCTTTTATTCAATATTGTTTTGGAAGTCTTAGCAATAGCAATAAG